ATAATTAATCTATAGCAGCAAAAAAACCTATCAATCTATAGCAACTCCTAAATGGAACTCAAATATCTATTAACATTACATTTTTACAAAGCAATACACCTGTGTGACTAGATTGTGATGGAGACTGCCATTCCCCAAATCCCATGCCACATACTAGTTACAGGTTCGGGAACTCAATAAACAGATTTATCTGCATTGCCCCAGAAGGGGTTTGCAACATTTAATTCAGAGAATGTCCTCTTCCATCAGAGCCTTCTCACACAGGTGCATTGCTGTATGGCAGACCAAGCTGTCTGTATTATTTATTTCAGGTACTTATATAGCGCTGTCAATTTACGCAGCGCTTTTACATATATATTGTACATTCACATCAGTCCCTAACCCTCAAGGGGTGTACAATCTAAGGTCCCTAACCCACATTCATACATACACATACTAGGGCCAATTTAGACAGGAGCCAATTAACCTACCAGCGTGTCTTTGGAGGGTAGGAGGAAACCAGAGTACCCGGAGGAAACCCACGCAGGCACAGGGAGAACATGCAAACTCCAGGCATGGTGCCGTGGCTGGGATTCGAACCAATGACCTGAGTACTGCCAGGTGGAAGTGCTAACCATTTAGCCACTTTATAAAGAAATGTCTGAGTTCTTGGACCTTGATTCCTGCCAGCTGTAAAGCAATGTCCCTATACAAATACCCTATACAGAAATGAGCAGTGTAGGTGCACATGCAGAGCCATACAAAGCAGTGTACTGGAGCCGACAGGGGAGAGAACTGTATTGTTTACATACAGTTCTCTCCCTCTGTCGATAATGCTCGGCAGGACCCAGAGATTGATGGCTCATGTGCGCCCCCTACCCAGAAATGCAAACACGTGTATATATATAATAAAGCATAAAAGTGCAGCGCTAATTAAACAATAGTTACACAATAATAGATCACATATGATTGTGGATCAGTAAAATGACTGCGTAAGTTCATCAGATGTGCTGAATGAGCATACAGTCTCCAACAAGTGAGAAACCAGAAATAGTGAATATCAGAAAATAGCCAAGTAATGCACTAACCAGATAGCGCATGTTAAAACGCATGGGACATTTAAGACCTGTCCCTGGTGCTCAGCCACTGTATCACTGGAACAAGGCGGTGTCATCTATAGGGTGACCACTAGATGTCATCTGTCCGGGTGTATCCAGCCACTGTATTAATGGATCAGGAGGGTGTCATCTATAGGGTGACCACTAGATGTCATCGGTTCCAGGGGAAGCTGTATCATGGATCCAGGGATGTCACTGCAGATGTGTTCTTGCTAGGCACAGCACCAGGACCTTTTAACAAAGGTTCAGCTGCTCATAAACGGCCAGACCCGGAGGTACATGTACATAGGATAACATAGCTTGGCACTTCCCTAACGCGTATCGTGTAAATACACATCATCAGAGGGGTATATATATATATATATATATATATATATATGTGATTTTGCGCACCCCTGCTATAGTACATCTGCTATAGGGTGGCGGGAAAGCAGTTAAAAAAATCCTACAATCATTAGTGGTCAGTGGTGCTTTAATCCACCAAGAAAAAAAAAAAAACAATCCCACAATCTTCCTCATTGTAAATGTTTATTTGTAAACATAGACAGTGTTTACACTTCTGATCTCTGTGGTTGGTTCACAGCAATCAAAAGGTACAGAGCCATTCTGGCTCTGTTCAGTCTGCCTGTGATTTGCACTGCCCATTGACAGCTCGATCACAGGCATTCCACTGGTGCACTGGGTACCTAAATAGGTTTTCTGTAGCACCTGTAAAAAAAATGGCTCTCCAGAAATTTGGGTCCACCTCTCCATCATTTTTCTATGATACGGTGGTAGTAAGGTGAATAAATGTACACTCAAAATTGAAAGTAAAACTTTGAAATGTATGCAGAGAGAAATCCTACCTCCTCTGAGTTTTAGTTTTTCATCCAGCCTCTGCTGTAGTGCATCAGTCCATCCCCACACCCTTTTATCACCCTTTTATCAGTAATATGGTCATCTAAGAACCCCTGACTGCAAAACAGGAGACAAATTCACAAACACACCCACTGCTTATTCTTTTCTCAGCCCTCTACAAAAAACCTGATCTAAAAACTTGTAAGGTCAAAGACATTTCCCACAACCACCAAACACATTCCGAACAATGTGAAACTGATGGATAATACAGGAGTGGAGAAGTCACTGGGGTGTCAGGAAGTGTATTGGGGTTGATTTACTAAAACTGCAAAATCGGATGCAGCTGTGCATAGCAGCCAATCAGCTTCTAACTACAGCATGTTCAAAAAAATCTGAAGAATATATTTAAAAAATCAAAAAAATATTTTTTGTTAAACATATTCTTCAGATTTTTTTTAACATATAAAAAAGTCATTTTAACATATAATTTAAAATATATTTGTAAATGCAGTCCAAAAATGTAGATTTGTATTTTTAAAGACATACAGTATATTTGAAATGTATTTTTAAAAACATTTTTTCATACATTTTGTAATAAAAACACATTTCAACATACAGTAAATATATATATATATAGAAATCTTTTGAATATGGCCAAAACTGCAGCATTTCAAATACATGTCAATATATTTGGGAAGAATATTTTTAAAATATATTTCAAATATACAGTTAGGTCCATATATATTTGGACACAGGCACAATTTTAGTTTTTTCAGATATTTGCCAAAACATATTCAAGCTATAGCTATATAATGGATATGGGCTGAAAGTGCACACTCTTAGATTTAATATGAGGGTATGTACATCCAAATTAGAGAAAGGGTTTAGGAATTACAGCTCTTAAGAGTAGCCATCCCCCCTTTTTCAAGGGACCAAAATTAATTGGACAATTGAATCAAAAGCTGTTTCATGACCAGGTGGTGGGCTACTCCTTCATTATTTTTTCATCAATTAAGCAGGTAAAAGGTCTGGAGTTGATTCTAAGTGTGGGATTTGCATTTGGAATCTATTGCTGTGAACCTACATCATGTGTTCAAAGGAGCTGTCCATGCAAGTGAAACAAGCCCATTGTAAGGCTTCAAAAATGAAACAAATCCATCAGAGGGATAGCAGCAACATTAGGAGTGGCCAAATCAACAGTTTGGTACATTCTGAGGAAAGAAGAATGCACTGGTGAGCTCTCAGCAACATAAAAAGGCATGGACATCCACAGAAGACAACAGTGGTGGATGATCATAGGATCCCCTCTATGGTAAAGAAAAACACATTCACAACATCCAGACAAGTGAAGGGCACTCTCCAGGAGGTGGGTGTATCATTGTCTACAATCAAGAGAAGACTTCACGAGAGCAAATACAGAGGGTTCACCACAAGGTGCAAACCATTCATAAGCCTGAAGAATAGAAAAGCCAGATTACACTTTGCCAAAAAACATCTAAAAAAGTCAGACCAGTTTCTGGAAAAGCATTCTTTGGACGGATGAAACTAAGATTAATCTGTACCAGAATGACGGGAAGAAAAAAAGTGTGGAGAAGGCTTGGAACAGCTCATGATCCAAAGCACACAACGTCATCTGTAAAAGGTGGTGCAGGCAGTGTGATGGTATGGGCATGCATGGCTTCCAGTGGCACTGGGTCATTGATGTTTATTGATAATGTGACAGAAGACAGAAGCAGCCGGATGAATTCTGCAGTGTTTACAGATATACTGTCAGCCCAGATTCAGCCAAATGCAGCAAAGTTCATTGGACAGCTCTTCACAGTACAGATGGACAAATGATCCAAAACACACTGCAAAAGCAACCCAGGAGCTTTTGAAGGAAAAGAAGTGGTATATTCTGCAATGGCCAAGTCAATCACCTGATCTCCACCCCCTTGAGCATGCATTTCACTTGCTGAAGGCAAAACTAAAGGCAGAAAGAGCCACAAAGAACAACTGAAGATAGCTGCAGTTAGAGCCTGGCAAAGCATCAGAAAGGAGGAAACCCAGTCTTTGGTCATGTCCATGGGTTCCAGACTTCAAGCAAAGCATCAGAAAGGAGGAAACCCAGTCTTTGGTAATGTCCATGAGTTCCAGACTTCAGGCAGTCATTGTCAGTAAAGGATTCTCAACAAAATATTAAAAATGAACATTTTATTTACGCTCATATTCAATTGTCCAATTACTTTTGATCCCTTGAAAAAGGGGGGATGACTACTCTTTAAGAGCTGTAATTCCTAAATCCTTCCTCCAAGGTGGATGTACATATACTCAAATTAAACCTGAGAGTGTGCACTTTCAGCCCATATCCATTATATAACTATCTCTTGATTATGTTTTGGTAAATACCTGAAAAAAATTAAAATTGTGCCTGTGCTTAAATATATATGGACCTAACTGTATTTTTCTTCCATATGGGTGAGCACCACAAACTGAAAACACTACTTATTTCACATAAAACTCACCCAACCATGTCTCCATGCTGTATTTTGTTCAAAAATCATTTTGATAAACAACCCCCCCCCCCCCCCACCCAGCATTTCTTGTCATGACCATCTTGAGTAAGGGCGGATGATTCATTTAGCATTCATTTGCTCGAATCCATCTGCCCTTAGCTCAGGCACACAGACAGGAGGGTGTGCTTAGCTGAGAAAGCCCCTCCTCCCCCTCCAGATAAAAGAAGAGGAAGACACCTGGGATGTATGACATCATTCCAGAAACCACAAAGGATCTGAAGAAATGTAAAAAAAAAAGTTAAAACAAGTAAATATAATATAACTTCCTATCTATTTACTAAGGCCCTCAACATAAGGATTTAAAAAGTCAGTGTTGACTGAGAGAGTTTATTTCTGCTTTACATGTGGTAGAGCATGGTAACGTGCCTTTTATCACAATGCCATTGTGCGAACGGGCCCTGACAGTTGCACTGCTGCAGTGTTTGCTGGATTGCAGTAGCAGTTTACTGATTTCTCCTAATGTCGCATGGAATTACTTTTTTTTTAATCCATCTTTCTTTTTTCTTTTAGGGAGACTCAGATACATTGCTGGCTAGCTCGCTACACACCACTCCCAGCACGCTGACCGGACTCTCGCAGACGGATGAGTTCTCTGACTGGTCAGGCAGTCAACAGACGGTAGTAGAGAGGGACTCCAAGAATGCCAGGCAAGGCTTTGCTCAGGGGGTGGGGGCTCGGCACCTGGGAGTGGAGCCCCTTATCCCAGCCTCCAGCAACAATCATCCAGGCAGTGTCTGGGGGTCAGAGGTCAGCCTGTCAGGGTTCAGCGACCTGTATAGCAGCGCCTTCAGCCTCTACCGGGCAGATCTTGTGCCATCCGGGTGTAAGTAACCCAAGTGCTCTATGGCAGTGTCATCATCCTCTCTCTCCTTGCCATGACGGTCTATTCAGAGGCTTTTTTATTTTTTTTTGTTTTTTCATTCAATTCATATTTATTTTTTTTACATTTATGTTCAATATTTTTTCTCCAGATTTTTTATTTCCATTTGTGATTCCCAGGCTGACCCTTTACTCCTATTTCTTTGCATTTTATGCTGTTTTGTTGAGTTAGCATCATTGTTTCATTGCGTGCGTTCCATTGCATGTCCATTTTTGTAATTCTGTATTTAACCTGTTCATCGTGTTTTGGGATTGCAAATAACACTGAGAGATGACACATAACGCTGAACTCCAGACAAACAGCTAAATACACAGTTGCAATACATATTTTGAACTGTCTTAAAAGATCACTTTTTAAAAAATGTATAAATAAATGCACGTATTTTTGCAGGTAAAACAAATGTGCATTTTTTTTACTTAGGAGACTGTAAAGCATTGCACCTGCGATCAGCAGATCGCGGGTGCAATGTCATGCTCCTGCACACTGTCAGTAGCGCTCTCTTCCATACCTCCCATACAGGCGGTCAGTTACTGAAGTCCAGGAAAATCAATGAACTATGAGACTACTCATCAGCGCCTTCTCAGTTCATTGACAATTACAAGCCAACTTCTGCGGCAGCACACAGTACTTGTAGTTCATTCATTCACAGAACAGAACTGCGAATGAATGATGCAGCTGTGGAGGTGGTGTTTTTAAATTGTGACAGCGGGAACAGGGATGAGTTGCCCCGCCTGCTGTCACAACAAAGCATCGGGTTGGGGTGCGGGGAGGTATTTTTTAAAACTATACAGGGAAGCTATCATAAATTTTGGAGCCCCTTACACAGTTTTAGGCGTAGACCTAGACCACCAATATTCCCAGGGCTTGACCGCCATCTCATCAAATCCATCCACAGGCCATCCCACTGAGTTCCCATCCTATGTCCTCCTCCTCTTCCCATCCCATCTCCTCCATCCCAAGTCCTCTTCCTCTAGTCCCATATTCTCCATCCCATGTCCTCCTCCATGCCATGTCCTCTTCCAGTCCCATCTTCTCCATCCCATTTCCTCCTCCAGTCTAATCTCCACATCCCATGTCCTCCTCCTCTAGTCCCAAACTCCTCCATCCCATGTCCTCTTCCTCCTCCAGTCTCATCTCCCCATCCCATGTCCTTCTCTTCCAATCTCATCTTCCCATACCATGTCCTCCTCCTCCAGTCCCATCTCCTCCTCTTCATCAGCACACCTTGGCATAGTAATAATGTTGTCCTATATTCACACAGGGTGGCAGACATCACAAGCCGTAGATACGGGACCTCACAAATCCCTATCTCGAAGCAGAGAAATGGATCCTGTGGGATCTTCAAATGTCAGCTTGTGATGTCTGTTCCTTTATTTAAATAAAGGACAAGATTGTTACTATACCAAGGCATGCTGCTTAAAATTTATATTCTCATATGACTGCATTGTGGCGCAATCTTGGGGCAGGTTGATTGTACCCAAATTGAACCATCAATCGACTTGGGTACAACCAACATGTCGGATTTATAGCATGCGATTATGCCAGTGGCTATAGCCGTTAGCAATAATCATTGTGTTCTCTCAGCGGGGATGGCTCTCCACCGGAGGAACACAATAGCTCTGTGGATGAGACTCCTCCATCAGCGCTGACTGTGTTGATGGAGGAGTCAAGCGATATTCTTTTCTGCAACCCGTAGTTGCAGGTAAGGAAATCGCAGAATCTATGGCCTGCCTAAGGTTTGCCACAGTAAAGCTCCCTTTACGCCCCTTATCATAATCCATCACTGCACAGCTGAGCTAATAGGTAAAATAGATGAATGCCACCATTATTTCTTTTTTATGTTTTGCATGCATTTGTTCCATATATCTCAGAGACACAATTGGCTTGTTTATCATCTCCATCAAACTAATGATACACTTGGCTTGGATAAAACTATATTTTAAAGTGTCATATACTTTACACTACTGCAGTCTAAAGAAATCTGCTGATAAACTAAATACCAACATACTTATCAAACACTATTAACGGCATTGCATTTATATGTACATTTAAAGTACACCATATCAACCAACTATCCATTAGCTTCCATGAACTAATCTACACTTTACAGGTCAAACTTAATTGGTTGCATGGTATACAACAGATATAACTACAAATGCAAGGTTGGTAAATAACCCTAATATACTAAAATAACACACAAAGTTAAAGTTGAACTCCAGGGAAAACAGTTAAATCCACAGATTAAATACTATTAGATGTATTTACACAGCTCTGCCGCACAGTACAGACCTGTCTGACTGCAAAGAGACTTGGTCTTACTCTGATGTAGTTCAGTAACCGTTACAGGTCTTGTCCCTCCCATCCTGTGACTGGACAGTAAAAAGGGAAGCAGCAGATGAATGAGTCTGTCACCCTTCCCTCTCCTCCTATCAGCATGCTTCTTGCATTGTAGCACAACTGATTGGCTCATTGTGCTGCATCTCCTTCCCTTTAATTAAGCTCTGTTGCACAGGGACTGCAAGAAGCTGATACCAAGTGAAATAAAAATACATTTAAGGCTGTGTCAGGATTACAGAGCACCATTATTTGTATCTTTTTTATCTGCCTGGAATTCAGCTTTAACACAGGGAAATGCTGGGATAAGAATACGGGAGCTGCCAGTGTGTCTGACTATGCAAGCAATGGTTCTGTCATCCTCACCCTTAGTTCATTAACTCATTACATAGTGAGTCTCAGGTCTGAAGTATTTTGGATGGGGGTACCAAGTTCAAGCGCTTCATTCCTAGGTCAGGGTCTCCAAGCTTTCTTAACAAAGGGCCAGTTTACTGTCCTTGAAACTTTGGTGGGGGCCTGACTGTGACCCATTGGTAGTAGAAAATACCCCAGCATCAATGGGAGTAAATAGCCTACCAGGCTTGGCGGTCAGCAGAAGTAAAAAATATTACATAGCGTTCAGTAGGGTGAGGAATAGTGCCCTATCATTGGTTTTAGTGGGAGGGATAGTGCCAAATTATTGGTGTCAGTGGGAGGAATAGTACCCAAGGTTGGTGTCAGTGGAAGGAATAGTGCCCCATCATTGGTGTCAGTGTGAATAATTATGCTCCATCATTGGTGTCAAGGAGAGGAATAAGAACCCAATGTTGATGTCAGTGAAAAGAATGGTGCCTCACTTTTGGTGTCTGTAGGAGGAATGGTGCCTTGTATCAAGACAAGGAGGACGAGTACCCCTAGGGCCCGATAAAGTGAAGCAAAGGGCCAAATTTGGCCCATAGGCTGCAGTTTGGAGACCACTGCACTAGGTAGTAAAGCAAAGATAACAGATTCAGAGCTTGCATCTTAAAGAACAAGTTGGCATTGACAGCTCAGGTATTTGAATTCTTGGCAGGCTCTCCTTAAAATGAATATAAGGAATTATTTGGATTAAAATAGATTCTGATTCATTCTTTTCCCTTGCAGTTTTTTACCAGAAGGGGGGCTGAGGCGAGGCAGCATCAATGGTGCCATTCCAGACTCTCCCCGACCTCTTCAGAGTCCCAGAACTCCTATTCTACCTCCTCCATCTCCCCGTCTAGGCCAAAGGCCATCTGCCAATCCTGTACCAAGCAGCCGTGGCCAATCAGCACTTCTCACACCCCGAAAGAAAACCCAGATGCCTTCACAGTATCAAGACTCAGTGGCTGAGGAGTTTGAGGAGAAGGTTAAGAGGCCAAAGTCCTCAGCCGGCTCTCAGGTCAGTGGTCAAGACTCCCGCCCTCAGACGCCAGTAAGTGAATCATCAGGAAGAGTGTCCATCTTGAGGGCATCTCCAAAGCTGGTCCGTTCTGGCTCCAAAATTTTTGATAAACTGCGTTGCCTTGAAGAGAGAAGAAAAAGCCTGGATCAAACAGACAGTCCTTTCCCTGTGCAGTCATGGTTACCACTTCGTAAAACAAGGTCTTTTGACCAACCAGGAGCAGATGGACTGGGCGCTGGCTTAGAATCCTCCACTGAGGAGCTAAGAGATGACCTAAGAGATGGTGTAAGATCAGAAATTGGAGGTTACACTTTGAGGTATCCCTCATTGAGATACAAGACATCTTCACTAGATGATAGGGGAGCCTTCTCAGGTCGAATAAGTGACATTGAGACGAGGTTCTCCCAAGAACTCTCTAGAATCAAGCGAACTGTTTCTCAGCAACAATTAATCCGGTCATCACAGGACTTAACATGCAAATCACAAACATCACTTTCCGGCCAACCTGCTCTGGATTCTGCTCCAACCCAAGTGCTTAAAGACTCTAAGCCACCTGAAATTCAGGAACAAAAGCCAGCAACTATTACGGTCACTGCCCAGAAGCCTCTTGCACGTAGCTATGGCACCGCCAACCAAATATCACAAGATAAGGAACCTCGGGGAGTCATAAGCCAGACAACTTCAGTTCCAGAAAAATCATCCAATGGTTCAGTTATTCACCATGAAGTAGTTAAACAAACAGATACCCGCCTGATGTCACAAGCACCTCCAAAAGTCAATATCATTGCTCCAAAACCAGTTTTGGCCCACGTACAAACCCCAAAGCAGGATTTTACAGATTCCAAGCATGGAAGAGTTCCAGACCGAGGAAGTGAACCCCCACCACCCAGCACACATGCTCCACCAGCTCTGGAGATAGCACATAGAGGGATAGGGCGGGAAAAGGGAACTTTAAGTGTAGACAGAAGAGGAGACACAAGATACCTCCCATGGGCAGCACCACCAGAACCTACCAAAAGAAGCCAGGCCCCACAAGGGAAGGGTGGGGGGCAAACCAAAAAGCACAGTGACTCCCACACTAGTGGCAAAAGCAGCAAAACATCCAAAAGCAAAGGAAAGAGTCGACGGCATAGGGTCATGTCACCAGAACTAGGTAAGTCAAAGGGGGTCAAATACAATATATACAGTTAAGGCTTTCTGAGTGCTACAGAATACCATTATTACCATACCGAAATTCCAATGTTGGAGGAACAAAACTGGAAACTAGTGTTGGGAGATATTGGGGTTCCTAACAGATCACAGAAGATGGTGGGTGAGTCAGCTCCCCATAATCTGCTGAAAACTTGAAGCAGATCTAAACCTAATCAAACTTCTTAAAAGTTTTAACAAGTTGATATAATTTCAAAGTTTTTTTTTTATAGATAAAAGAATTCTAGGTAATACTGTTATTAAGGTACTTATTCAGGCTTTCCATGTTAGCGGGTAACAACTGTCTCTCACCTGTGCTGCTGTGTTATCACCCTGTCACATGCAACTTGATGGCCACTACAGGCAGCTTTGCCGACACACATTGTGCAAGTATGGTCCACTGTTGTCACTTTTAAGAAGTTGTTACAGAGCAATGATGTGCAGCTGATGAAAGCATGTAGACAGGAAGTGGCAAAAGAGGCTGGAGGAGATCGCCAGTGCTGAGATGTAATTAAAAAAAAGAATTGAAAAAAGTTAGAAGCAGCAGATTATAAACAAACTACAATTGTTTTACCCACAGTTTAATAGAAAATTATGGGGGGGGTGGGAAGATTTACTAAAACTGGAGCACTCAGAATCGAGTGCAGCTGTACACAGGAGCAGGGCGGACTGACAACTCATGGGGCCCCAGGCAATAGGGGATCATGGGGCCCCTGTGTCCTTGCCCAAACTCAAAAAAGCCTATGAAAAAGGTACCAGGGGCATCTCAGGGTCATCTCACTGACCCTGGGTCCTCGGGCAGTGCCCAAGTTTCCAAATGGTCAGTCCGCCCCTGCACTGGAGCCAATCAGCTTTTAACTACAGCTTGCTCAATTGAGCTTTGACAATAAAGCCTGGAACCTGATTGGTTTCTATGCAGAGCTACAGCAGATTTTGCCCTTTCCAGTTTTAGTAAATAATTCCCTAAATGTCATCCAGTTTGTATTTAGATCCATTTTAAATTGCAACTTCACCTGAAAGGGGGATGCGAAGTAGGAAATCGGCTGTAAAGCCGGAAGGCTTCACTGCCAGTTTCCTTTACCTAAGATGCCGGCACCTGCACCCAAAGCTGATTGGAGAACCGGCTCAGGTGAAGGCATCGCTAGATCCCTGGACAGGCAAGTGTTCTTATATAAAAAAAAGTCTGGAGCTACAGTATTTATAGATGCTGACTAATGTTGTTTGGGGAGAGACTGGAGCTCCTCTTTAAATATGGGTATAGACTGCAAGGTGGCTAAGTGCCTATCATTTTTGCCTTGCCGTCTTGGGTTCAGATCCCACCAAGGACACTATTTGCATGGAGCTAGTCTGTTTATCAGCGCTTGGGTTTCTGGTTTGTCCCATTATCCCCAGAGCACTAGGGACATTAAATTGTGAGCTCCTTTGTAAAACAGGGATCAATAAATCTATGTATACTGTAATGTGGGAGTTCAGGTGTCATTTCACATCTGTTCCTAGGTATTCACCTGCTAACTCAGAATCTTCTTCACTGACGTCAAACGTCGTAAAGCTGAACAATTCTGAGATCTCTGTGCTAGAAGATAGCGTTACCTATGAAGCTTGCTCCAATCAGACAGAAATTTAATTTAGCCTCTGAATGGAACGGTGTACCCCTGCTCCCTTGGCAGTATAGTTTAGGGCCTAGTCACACGTTTCCGGTGAGGTGTGTCCTTTGCATTAGCACGGTTATCTGCACAATACAGATTTCACCCCAATGCACACCACAACACATGGTAACGCACTACTATGCGGTGACGTGCACTTCATTGCCAAAAAGGGTGCATGTCCATATTTTTAAAAATTGTGGTGCATTGCCAGCCCATTTTTTACCATGAAATATGTGGGTTGCCAGCCTATTCTTTAACATGCATTACCGCTACATACACTATATTACCAAACGTATTGGGACGCCTGCCCTTGCATATGAACTTTAATGGCTTCCCAGTCTTACCCTAGGTTTACACCTTAGCATTTCTGCAGAGTTTTGCATTTTGCAGAAACACAGTACAGTCCATTTAACATAATTTCCTATGGGACAGGTTCACACCTCTGCATTTTCACCCAATGCATTTGTTGGAAAGGGTCAGGGACCTTTTTGAACGCAAAACACTGCATTTTTGGTTCTGTAGACTTCAATGGCAATGCTGCAGAACAGCATGTATTGAATTTTTGATGCGTTTTGCATTTAAAATCTGCCTAGCAACAAGAAAAAATAAAAAAATGAAAAACAAAAAAGGCACAAATGCAAGTGCAAAATGCAATGCAGAAACGCATCAAACACAACCTGCATAGGTGTGAACCTAGACTTAGTACGTAGGGTTCGATATTGAGTTGGCCCACCCTTTGAAGCTATGACAGCTTCGACTCTTCTGGGAAGGCCGTCCACAAGGTTTAGGAGGGTGTCTATGGGAAGGTTTGACCATTCTTCCAGAAGCGCATTTGTGAGGTCAGGCACTGATGTCGGACAAGAAGCTTGGCTCTCAGACTCCACTCTAATTTATCCCAAAGGTGTTCTATCAGGTTGAGGTCAGGACTCTGTTCAGGCGCTCCCACAAAGTTGGGAGCCTGAAATTGTTAAAAATTTCTTGGTATGCTGACGCCTTAAAGGTTCCCTTCACTGGAACTAGGGGGCCAAGCCCAGCCCCTGAAAAACAACCCCACACCATAATTCCCTCTCCACCAAACTTTACACTTGGCACAATGCAGTCAGACAAGTACCGTTCACCTGGCAACTGCCAAACCCAGACACGTCCATCAGATTGCCAGACAGAGAAGCATGATTGGTTACTCCAGAGAACACGTCTCCACTGCTCTAGAGCCCAGTGGCGGCGTGCTTTACACCACGGCATCCGACGCTTTGCATTGCACTTGGTGATGTAAGGCTTGGATGCAGCTGCTCTGCCATGGAAACCACATTCCATGAAGCTCTCTACGCACTGTTGTTGTGCTAATCTGAAGGCCACACCAAGTTTGGAGGTCTTTAGCTATTGACTCTGCAGACAGTTGGTGACTTCTGCGCACTTCAGCATGTGTGACCTCACTCTGTCATGTGACGTGGCCTACCACTTGATGGCTGAGTTGCTGTTGTTACCAGTTGCTTCCACTTTGTTATAATCCCACTAACAGTTGAGCGTGGAATATTTAGTAGCCAGGAAATGTCACGGATGGACTTATTGCACAGGTGACAACCTATCACGGGACCACGCTTGGAGTAACTGAGCTCCTGAGAGCGACCCATTCTTTCACAAATGTTTGTAGAAACAGTCTGCATGCCTAGGGGCTTGATTGTATACACCTGTGTCCATGGAGGGGATTGGAACACCTGAATCACATGATTTGGAGGGCTGGCCCAATACATTTGGCAATATAGTGTATGTTAATGCACATTACATGTGTTAGCAGATTGTGGTACCATTAATTTTGAATAGCATCCAATACACTAAGGCAACTCAGCTCCAATGCACATGTGCTGTAGCACACCACACCAGCATGTCCATTTTTCTGGATGTTTTGGTGCGTAACCAGCTCATTTACGTGAGACTCCTTAAAGAATATGTAAACCCAACATTTGCTATTCTGTATGTGACTGCTGTTCCATGTACTTGTGTGAAAAAATATCCTGTTCTCTTTGCATTGCTTCCTTTGTGTGAGATCCCTGGTGTTCCTGCCAGGCCCTCTGCTGTATTATAATGAAAAATAAAACACTGACCACACTAGGCATGGTCAGTTTGCTGGCAACTCAGCCTGCTCTTTTCCAATGATCAGACTTGTCCTGGCAGAACCCCCCCCCCCCCCATGCACAGTCATTCACAGGAAAGTTTAGTGTGCTGCTGTTTCTCCTCCCAAAGATCTCTATGCAGCTGAGGACATAAAGTATGTAATCACTTATAAAAAAGAGGGGAAAGAAGTATTTCTAATGTTTTTTATATCTATACACAAATGTTTTGCTTTTTTATTTATATTGTAAACTGAATGGGTTGTTTTACAAGGTGAGGGTTTACATATACTTTAAAGCTGTGTATGTTAATGTGCAGAAAAATGTGAATTAACTTAACGCACTGCAATGTGTGTAAATAGCCCTAATGTGAAAAATGTCTCATTTATGTGACAAAAAAAACACAGAAATTACAGAATTATCGTAAATTGTATTTTTAGTAACAGACAGAATATACAGTATACAAAAACACTATGGGGTCTATTTATAGAATACTGTATGTGTTGGACAAATGTTCCCTGTATTTTATGTAATAGATTAATTCCTATGATTCTCAGCGCCCTCTAGTGGCCAAAGTGCAGTATGCTTTTCTGAAATACCTCATTGAGAAATTTTGCAGTTTTTTAGCCATGGAGCTGATGATCCGAAGGCATTAGACAGAAAACACGGGGATACTTTGCCCAGCCTGCAGAAATGTGTGTGACATTCCACCAATGAATGATTTATAAATGGAGCCCTATGTGTGCCCTATGAATTCATTTTAATGTATATGTTTTTTATTACAATGCCCCATTTAATAGCATCACTATCTATTTTTTATAAGTGACATTGTTTCCACGATTTTCAGAATCATCAGACGATTCCTACGTATCGGCTGAAGAAGATCCTCGAGAACCTCCGGTATTTGAAATCCCCTTACAAAGTGCCCTGGTCAATGCCGGCTCAGAAGTTTTGTTAAAATGCATCATATCAGCCAATCCAGCGGCAGAGGGTAAGAGATGAATAAAGGGCACATATTGTCATACAATTATTGCATATTCGTACCAAAGACAATTGTCTCTGCGACTCTGAAAGAGCTTCCCAAAGCGACTGTTATCATTTCCATCATAACAAAATTTTGATGGGGCGCCCCCACTTGATGGTGTAATATTGATTTCTTTTTGGTACCCAGTCTATGCTGCATATCCAACAATAGTCCCCTTTAACTAAGGCTTTTTTTTCATAGCAAAGAGGTGTAGGTACACAGGGGCGTATTTACCACAAGGCAAACAAGGCACTGGCCTAGGGCGGCATTTTCCAGGGGGGCAGCATCTCCCCCCAGAAGAAGGGATGAAAGAAGGGACACGCATGCCATAGGAACCAGGTGGGATCTGAGACAGGCTGCAAGCTGCTTGATGGTGTATGTAGAGCCTGACTTACATTTCCGGGGATGTCCAGAGCTGTGAAGACAAGTGTCTCTCTCTCTCACTAGGGTAGGTTTAGTGGAAGGCTCTCTCAGGTGGGGGGCAGGGGTGTTGGTCAATGACAGTCTCTCTCTACGGGAGGGGGAAGGGGCATGGTGTTGGTTCATGTCCGTTTGGGGGGGGAGACAATTTTTGTGTTGCCTAGGGCAGCACAAAACCTAAATACACCACTGTAGGTACCCCACACTTCTCCTCAGAGTCACCCCTTCTCTCTGCCCCAACCCACCTCTGAGCACCATCCCTTGTCTCCACCCCACACCCAACACCCAGTACTGCCTCCTTTACAGAATACACAAACAAGTATAGAATTGTTAATGATAACACGAGAAGGAGTTAAATATATCTCATGCAGCCCACAGCAATAGACCCTCCCAGCAACAATAACCCCCCAGAAACAAAATACACCCCCCGGCAAAAATAGACCCCCCAGCAGAAACAACAGGTCCACCCCAGCAAAAACAGACCCCTTTCAGCAACATTGGAACCTCCAGCAGCCAACAACAATAGATGCCCCTCAACAGTAGATTCCCCTCCAGCAACACTACACCCCATAGAGACAATAGATACCTCAGTATCCAGCATCATTAGACCCTCTAGCATACCCTAACACCCATTACTAACACATCCATTCAGTGCTGCAGATTCCGGAAATGGAAACCACTGCATTCCCACTGAATAAAATCTGTGCCGTTAATACTATTAGCTAAACTGCATATACTGTAGATCAGGGGTGTCAAGCTCAATTTAATTTTCATTTGAATTTTCATTGCGGGCTGAATCAGCATTATGGTTGCCCTCAAAGGGCCGGTTGTAAATAACTTTATCCAGGGCTTTTTCTCTCAGAGAATAGGTGCAGGAATTCAACCAGGCCCCCTCCCCAAACCACATGGAACGGTAGGTGTGACCAAATTGCGTAGTGGAAGGATCTTAAAGGGGCAACAAATACCAGGAGTGCATTATGTGCGGAGTTCAGGGGTGCACTACATACATAGTGCAGGGTTCAGGGGTGTGGCACTTACATAGTGCAGGGTTCAGGGGTGCGACACATACAGAATGCAGTGTTCAGGGGTGCAGTGTGAACTGAGTGCAGAGTTCAGGGGTGTGGTACGTACATAGTACAGGGTTCAGGAGTGCGGCATGTACATAGTGCAGGGTTCAGGGGTGTGGTACGTACATAGTACAGGGTTCAGGAGTGCGGCATGTACATAGTGCAGGGTTCAGGGGTGCGGTTCTTACAGAATGCAGTGTTCAGGGGTGAAGTATGCACTGAGTGCAGGGTTCACAGGTGTGGTACATACAGAGTTCAGGGTTCAGGGGTGCGCTACATACATAGTGCACGGTTCAGGGGTGCGGCACTTACAGAGTGCAGGGTTCAGGGGTGCTGTACTTACAGAGTGCAGTGTTCAGGGGTGCAGTGTGAACTGAGTGCAGAGTTCAGGGGTGTGGTACGTACATAGTACAGGGTTCAGGAGTGCGGCATGTACATAGTGCAGGGTTCAGGGGTGTAGTACGTACATAGTACAGGGTTCAGGAGTGCGGCATGTACATAGTGCAGGGTTCAGGGGTGCGGTTCTTACAGAATGCAGTGTTCAGGGGTGAAGTATGCACTGAGTGCAGGGTTCACAGGTGTGGTACATACAGAGTTCAGGGTTCAGGGGTGCGCTACATACATAGTGCACGGTTCAGGGGTGCGGCACTTACAGGGTGCAGGGTTCAGGGGTGCTGTACTTACAGAGTGCAGTGTTCAGGGGTGCACTACATACATAGTTCAGGGGTGTGGTCCGTACATAGTACAGGGTTCAGGGGTGCGGCACGTACATAGTGCAGATTCAGGGGTGCGGTACTTACAGAATGCGGTGTTCAGGGGTGAAGTATGCACTGAGTGCAGGGTTCACAGGTGTGGTACGTACAGAGTTCAGGGTTCAGGGGTGCACTACATACATAGTGCACGGTTCAGGGGTGCGGCACATACAGAGTGCAGGGTTCAGGGGTGCGGTACATACAGAATGCAGTGTTCAGGGGTGAAGTATGCACTGAGTTCAGGGTTCACAGGTGTGGTACGTACAGAGTTCAGGGTCATGGGTGCACTACATACATAGTGCACGGTTCAGGGGTGGGGTGCAGGGTTCAGGGGTGCGGTACTTACAGAGTGCAGGGTTCAGGGGTGCGGTACTTACAGAATGCAATGTTCAGGGTGGGGCATGTACAGAGTGCAGGGTTCAGGAGTGGGTACTTACAGAATGCAGTGTTCAGAGGTGAAGTATGTACAGTGCAGGGTTCAGGGGTGCGGTACTTACAGAATGCAGTGTTCTGGGGTGAAGTATGTACTCAGTGCAGGGTTCAGGGGTGCGATACTTACAGAATGCAGTGTTCTGGGGTGAAGTATGTACAGAGTGCAGGGTTCACGGGGTGCGCTACGTACAGAGTGCAGTGTTCAGGGGTGCACTACATACATAGTGCAGGGTTCAGGGGTGCAAATACGTACAGAGTGCAGGGTTCAGGGGTGCGATACGTACAGAGTGCAGGGTTCAGGGGTGCGATACGTACAGAATGCAGTGTTCAGAGTGCAGTATGTATGGAGCAGGGGCGGACTGACCATTTGGAAACTCGGGCACTGCCCGAGGGCCCAGGGTCAGTAGGGGGCCCCATGAGATGTCCCTGGTACCTTTTTCATAGGCTTTTTTGAGTTTGGGCAAGGACACAGGGGCCCCATGATCCCCTATTGCCTGGGGGCCCCATGAGTTGTCAGTCCACCCCTGGTATTGAGTGCAGGGTTCAGGGGGTGCACTACATAGTGCATGGTTCAGGAGTGCAGTATGTACATAGTGCAGGTTTCAGGGGTGCGGTACTTACAGAATGAAGTGTTCAGGGGTGGGGTATGTACAAAGTGCAGAGTTAGGGGTACACCACGTACAGAGCGCAGTGTTTAGGGGTGTGCTGTGTACAGCAAACACGTGAGGGTTGCATAAGGACGCCATTCATTCCTAATGGCACCCACACGCATCTCAACCCGCAGCGCGTTTGCGGGTGTAAGAACTGCAGGGACAGTACTTGGTGCAAATGCACCATGCAATTTCCCTGCGGTCGTGTTTTTTAAAATAGTGCAATGCTGCATTTTTTTTACGTGTTTCTGCTGAATTTCCATTGAAGTCTATGGAACCAAAAACTCAACTTGCTGCAGGAAAGAAGTCCCTGACCCATTCCAAAAACCACACCTATGTAAATCTCGGAAATGTGAACGTGACCCATAGGAAACCATGTTAAATGGACTGTACTGCGTTACTCTACAAAACTGAAAACGCACTGAAAAATGCATAGGTGCAAACCAGGCCTAAGAGTCTGATGGTGATCTGCTGAAAGGGGATCGGCCATTAGGAACACTTACTCAAGGTACAACAAAGGCTGCAGTTTGCGTGGGCATGGTAGCCCATTCATTTGAATGGGCTGCAATGCCTGTGAAACACAGGGGAAAGGTCCCTGCACTCTTTTTGAAATTGCAGCCCACACTGGGAATCACAAGTACAGCTAGGATTAATGACATCTTCCTGCATCTCCATCAGTGCTATTGTGTGAGCCAGGGCTGCTGGTAGAAACCACATGACCCCCATAGAGCCAAGCTGATAGCCCCCCCCCCCCCCCCCCAGTTTTCTATGTTCCAGTTATGAATGAACATAGTGACTGAGTTACTCATTGTGTTCATTCGGAAAGAAAGGGGCTGGTAAGTGGGACCCTTCCCCCACTCTCCATTCTGAAGGATCCTATTGTGTGCTTGCAGCTTCCGGTGGGAAGGAGAGGAGGGCAGCACTGCGGGGGTGAGTTGCACAGGGAGGGGCCTGGGCAGCAGGGGAAAATAATGCACAAAGAGGGTGGTGGGTGTGGTGGGGGGCAATTACTGGGAACCAATCCCCTGTATGGCTCTCTGCAGCAGCTGAAAGCCAGCAGAAGGGAGAGGAGAAAAAGCCAGCTTTAAACAAAATACTTTTTTTGTTTTTGCAGTGGTATGGAGAAAAGATCGAGCAGTACTCGTAAACAGTGTTACTCATCAGATCCGGGCAGAGGGCGAGAGGCATTCGCTGTTAATACGCTGGGCGCTGCCCTCCGACTCTGGAATCTACACCGTGACAGCGCGTAATGAAGTGGGTGAGGCCAGCAGCTGTGGAGCCCTGACGGTGAAACCAGGTAATTGCAGATTTTTATTACATGACAGTATACCTTATTTAATATTTATTATTAATTTATTATTATTTCAGGTACTTATATAGCACCATCAATTTACATATATATTGTACACAATCTAAGGTCCCTAAATCACATTCATGCAAACACATACTAGGGCCAATTTTAGACAAGAGCCAATTAACCTCCCAGCATGTCTTTGGAGTGTGGGAGGAAACCGGAGTACCAGGAGGAAACCCACGCAGGCGCAAGGAGAACATGCAAACTCCAGGCACCTGGTGCCGTGGTTGGGATTCGAACCAACGAACCTAGTACTTACTGTATCAATTGGTGTAACAGAGGTACTATCATAGACAATGTTTTCTTTAACATAAAACAGTATTTCACTTTTTTATAACACTCTGGTAGATCGAGAGCAACATCTGATTGGGTACTCTGAGCATCAACAACCTTAAAGGGTAACTAGACTTGACTAGGGAATAAAATATGGCTTGTGTCTATGCTGCTCTGACCATAGCCCCACTCATCTTCTACAGAATAAACCACCTCACAACCAGAGGCGGACTGACCATTCAAGCACTCGGGCACTGCTCGAGGGCCAGGGGTCAGTAGGAGGCCCCATGAAATGCCCCTGGTACCTTTTTATAGGCTTTTTTGGGTGTGCTTTGAGTGTGGGCAAAGACACAGGGGCCCCATGATCCCCTATTGCCCGGGGGCCCCATGAGTTGTCAGTCCACCCCTGATCACAACAAAGAGGTAAATGGTTATAGAAGCCTTTTATCAACTGCTTTCCCACCGCTCTATAGCAGAAATACTGCTACAGGGCGGCAGGGCTGCACACAATCACGTGTGTATATATATATATATATATATATATATATATATATATATATAAAAATACACGTGATTTTGCATTTCCAGGTAGGGGGCATGTGCGCGTTCTACCCGTGCTGCCATTTGCGGCCTCAGCTGCCGATCACCAGGTCTCGGCTGGTGATTCCTGCTGGCACTGCACCCGGCAATCGCTGAGTATCACTGACGGGGGAGAGACCTGTATGTAAACAATGCAAATCTCTCCCCTGTCAGCTCCTGCACATTGCTTTGTATTGCTCTGCAGAGCAATACAAAGCAATGTGCTGACACAGTAAAGCACACACACAGCACACAGTTAACCCTTTGATCTCCCCAGATGTTAACCCCTTCCTGCCCAGTATCATTAGTACAGTGTCAGTGCTTTTTATTAGCACTGACCACTGTATTAGGGTCACTGGGGATGTCAGTGACAGTCAGTTCCCTCCAGTGTCAGAATGCCCGCCGCAGTCCTGCTATAAGTCGCTGGTCGCTGATCGTTGCCATTACTAGTATATAAAAAAAAAAAAAATTTATTCCAGTATCTATACTGTCATTTGTAAACGCTATAACTTTCTTGTAAACCGATTAATTTACACGTATTGGGATTTTCGCAAAGAAATAGAGCAGAATACATTTGGCCTAAATTTATGACGAAATCTTATTTTTTAAAAAATTTTTTTACTGGACATGTTTAATAGCAAAAAGTCAAAAATATTGTTTTTTTTTTCTCAAAATTGTCGGCCTTTTTTTGTTTATAGCGCAAAAAAATAAAAAATTTCAGGCAATCTAATACCACCAAAAGAAAGCTCTATTTGTGGGAAAAAAAGGACATACATTTTACTTGGGTGCAGTGTTGCATGACTGCGCAATTGTCAGTTAAAGTAACGCAGCGACATATCACGAAAAATGGTCTGGTCAGGAAGGGGGGTAAATACTCAGGAGGGCAAGTGGTTAACCAAATATAAATAACAGATGAAACACAGATAATTACAGTAACTTAATACCACAATGTATAAAAATGGAGCCCCAAGGTCCTATTAGGCAACAAAAGAAGGAAAGTACCTGCATATCACTTAATCAGGCCTCCAGCCACAAAAACACCGACTCGGAGAAACCCATCCCAAAGACTAGGATCCGTACCTCAAACGGGTCCCTACACCATACCTTTGTGCCCATACTAACCTAAAAGGACCTTGCATGACAAAACGAACTACAACGGCCAAAATTCCCAACACTGAAACAAAACAAAAACAAAACAGGGAGGGAGGCTGGGAAGTTTTCCCAAACTCAGCTGACCCCTGACTGAAGATCTGCCCAGAACAGCTACCATCCAACCCCCTGCAGCTCCACCTATCCCTTACCTTGATCCAATCACACGAGCTTTGCCGTATGTTTAGTTTCAAACTTCAGATATTCCCCAGCCCAGACTCACGCCTCTTTAACCCCTGTATGCTGGTCCTTCATCTATTTTGCATGCTTATTTCACTCCGGGCCGCCCTTTCATGGGAAAAATAGCAAATGAAAGAACAAAAAAGTAATATAACATATACAATTGCAACACATTCCATATTGTGATTGAAAGTTTTTAAAAATTACCTTTCTTTTTCAATCTGCAGCGCTGTAATTTTGTGAAAACTGCAATGCAATATGGAAACCTGGAGGTGTTCTGTATACCATTGTCAGGGCCATCTTTAATATTGACTGGACCCTGGGCAAACATTTTCATGACTCCCCCCCCTTCCACATTTTACTCTCCCCATGCTCAGAGACATACAATAAATAGCAGCTAGACTCAAAATCAGTTTACTGCAGCAGATCAGGCAGCAATTGCGATTAGTTGCCAGAGGTTACAGCATATCATTACTGCTCACTGACTGGTTGCTAGAGGTTACAGCACAGATTATGGCTCACCGATTAATTGATAGAGATTACAGCACGATTTCTATTTGCTGATTGGTTGCTAAAGGTTACTGCACATCATTACTGCTCACTCATTGGTTGCTAGAGGTTACTGCACATTATTACCGCTCACTGATTGGTTGCTAGAGGTTACTGCACATCCTTACTGCTCACTGATTGGTTGCAGAGGTTACTGCACATCATTATTGCTTACTGATTGGTTGCTAGAGAATTATAGTAGATCATTACTGTTCACCGATTGGTTACTGGAGGTTACTGCACTATTATGCTCACTGAGTGGCTGCTGTTGGTTACTGCGCATCATTACCACTTACGTGTTGATTGCTAGAGGTTACAGCACTCATTACAGCTCACATCATTACAGCACTCATCTGATTGGCTGCTGAAGGTTACAGCACATCATCTTCTTACTGCCTGCACACCATGGACTGAGAAGGCCCCAGTGGGCATCATTTAGCAGAGGTGATGGTGGCTGGAACCTTGGGGGGGGCATAATATACATATGAATGACGCCACAATTTACATATGAATGCCACATTGCTGCCGCTATTTACATACTACTGTAAGAACATGGCTATAAGGCAGAGCTGGGCCACATAAGTGACAGCACTTCACACTGAGATATCTGGACACAGCATAGGACAAAGACTTTAAGGGACAAGGGAATGTAAACCAGGGCAGTTGGCAAGTATAGCACAACTATGGGCCCCACAACAATGACTGGGTCCAGGGCAGCTGACTCTTTTGCTCCTCCTTAAAGACTGCCCTGACCATTGTAAAAAAAATCCCCAGAAATGTCATTTCATGCTTGAGTAACTGGCTCAATGATTTTCCCAGAAGTCTACACTAAGATACAAATCACATTTTAGTCATTCTCTGCAACAGAAAATATCATTATTGGTGGGATACTCTCAAAGGGCTAAATACTTCTAAAGGGAAGCAGACACTGCAACTTTCCCTATTCGAACACTGCAAGTGCATCAGCAATAACAAAAGAGTTTTTCCCATTCTAATTCATTCTGCACACACAACAAACAGCTTTTCCATCAGAGCAGAAATAGGTAGGAATCTGCAACAAAGATTTGTGACATCCATGTCTGCTCTTTTTTTTGTCTGCATTTTGACTATGGCAGACCCATGTTGGATCTATGGGCTGTCAGATGTTTAAGTTTACATCAAGCTGCCTCCGATCTGTCACTACAGATAAATGAAAAAGTGCTTTTGTTTCTTTTTTTTAACCTGGACCAAGTCTGCTGACATTTGCCTGCTTATAGACCTGCATGGAACGTCCGATCAGGTCCGCCTCAATCACTGACCTGATTGGAAAGCAACACGTGAGAGGGGCCATAGTCATAATATTTACTTGTAATGAAGGTTGTCCCACATTATGCAGACACTTAGATCCTGGAAAAATCTTCACTGCAGGGATGCCTTGTCCTAGCTCTTCCTGAACTTATAGAGCTGCAGCAGTTATCAGCTTCAGGTCTTCAAGCAGAACAGCAGTACAGAAGGTCTGATGGAAATCACCCTTTCCTGCCCTCTCCTCTATTGAGAATAGTTCTTGTAATGCAATCAGTGATTTAACAGAATTTGTGAATGAGGGAGAGGATCCTGTGACTGATCAGACTGCCCCCCATTCACTGCCATGTATAGGAAGTGTAATCAATGAAAGACCTTTTCTCAGTGGAGGAGTTGGAAGGAGGGGATGTGTCCTCATCAGATCATCTGTACTGCTGTTCTGCCTGAAGACCCAAAGTTAACCATTGCTGCGTGTCGAAAGTTCAGAGCTAGGAAGAGGACAGAGCATCCCTGCAGTAGAGATTTCTTCAGAATAAAGCTACTTGCACACAGTGCTGGGAGAAGGTCAACTAGAACCCAGGGCAAACATGTCAAATTGTGTCCTCCCCCCAAGATGTTAGAGTATTATGTGTCAGCAAGAATCCACCCCCCCAAAAAAAAAACAAAAAACAAATCAAGCACTAATTTGCATGCTTACCCCCTAAGCATAAAGTCCCCCTCTTCTCAGTACAAATCTGCCCACTTGCTTAAATTCCCCCTCCCAGCAAACGTTTGCCCCCCCCCCCCCCCCAACAAAAAAAAATTCCCCCTCCTAGTACATGTCCTCTAACCCTAAAATTTCTGCTCCAAGCACAAATCTTCTTTCCCCCACTCCAAACCCCCCTCCCAGCACAAATTCCCCTCCTCCAATCCCCCATCC